TTTCGATTTGAATAATTTAAAAAAATACATCCAAAATAATTTAAAATAACAAAATTTTTAAAATTATCAGTAAATTTTAATTTGGACTAGGCCAAAAATATTTTTTAAAAGAAAATCTCGATCTCTGTAATAAGTTCAAAATTCATTTATCATTAAAATAATTTTTTTAAATTTAGGAATTTTTTAAAATTATTTTGATGATTAATTCAATTATACTTCAAAAAAAATAAAAAATAAATATGGTATATTATATAGTATATAAATTTGCTTCTTCCAAAATGCTACGAGATAATATAAGGGAATAATAAATTAAAAAGATGGGATCTGATATATAGTGAATGAAGAGAATGGTATCCTATTGGGATAGCAGAAAAATGTATTAAATTATACAAGAGAAGATTAAGTAAACGTATTGTGATTGTGAATGAATAATTCCCTATTTCTGCAGATAAAGAGCTGAGCCTAATTGATTGTGGAATGATCTTTCTAAATCATTGGAATACGAAAAAGGCCTATAGTTGTTTTATGATTCTATAATAGTTTTAAAAATTATGATTAGAGGAAGCTAATGTAGGGTGAGGTGAAAATTAGGAGAAAAATATAATTGGATTAGTGGTTATTTTTCATTGGAAATGTCCTAACATGAAGTTAAAAATTAATAGTATATTCTGATTAGAATTTTATCAAAATACATTATTCTACTAATGACTTCAAAAGCCACTTTGTTACTCTCACACCTCCATAAAAAGAAACTAGATAACCGCTAAAAGCATATCAAAACAAAACTCCTGATTTATAATGTTAAATTCATAAGAATAAGACATTAAGATCAATAAACGATTGATCAAGTATATACTACCTATTTAATTAATAATTAAAAACACTAATCCACAAATATGGTAATATAATTTTTTTTTGAAATATATAAATCGATTTTACCATTATTTCAAAATATACAATCTTTCAAAAATGACTAGAATGCAAATATTTTAAAGATTTTAAAAAAATATAATCTTTCAAAAATGATTAGAATGCAAATATTTTAAAGATTTAAAAAAAATTTATTAGGTATACTAAACAATAATGTGCTCAGACCTCTATCCCCTAAAATCATCTTACTCTCTTACCACATTAGCCAATTTGGGAGTTTATTTGAATTAGAGATATATACTTATTCCAAACTTAAAATGAGTTTGAAAGTGATCAATTTCCCAAGAGAACTGGATAATCTAAAAATAGAGGTAGGAATTTAAAAACAAATAATTATATATATCGTAGCCTGAGAATTAGATAATTCCATCTCCGCTTTTTGTAATTTTACAGGAGAGCAATTTTAAAAATTAAGTTTATATTGTTTTCAATAGGATGGTTAACCTAATATTGGCTATAATTTAACTTATTTTATAAATATTTCGGATTAAATTTATGTAATTAGAAAGTGTAATTACAAAAAGTTGATTGTAAAAAAGTCATTTTTGACAAAAAGTGGATATGGAATAACCCAATTCTCTGGCGACGATATGTGGATTTAAATTTTCTTCAACATTTTTGGATAACACTACTATTTTATTTATAATTTCTAAAAAAAAGGAACAATTGTTAAGTTGAACTTGGAGGAATAAATAATTTAACTTTTACAGAATAATTAAATGCAGTTATATATGCTTATAAATACGAGTAATTAGTAGTGTTAAACGGCTCGATTTGAGCCGATTTATTAAAACGGCTAAATCGACATTTTAAGTAGAAAAAAAATACGCAAGCCTGAAGATTTTGCTCATAGATGGCACAAAATTTGGACATCTATTAGCAAAATCTCGAGGCTTAGACAATATTTTTCTGCTTAAATAGTGAGGTAGTCGTTTTACTCAAATTGAGCCGTTTAACAACGCCATGTGTATTGTTGAAGTTTTAGTTTAAACAAATTATATTTCCTATTTCTTATTGTAGGAACTTAACTAACCCCTCTCCCCTCCTCCTCTTTCTTTGATCTTTTTAATTCTGTATTATAATATCAGAGTTTGAAAAAAAATCTTCAAAAATATATGAAAATTACAATAAATTTACTTATAAAAATTTTTTAAAGGTATTTTTTATAACTCCGATTTTGATCTTTCCCAAAACACCTAGCTTGGTTTTGTGGGTTCTGTTATGGCCTTATTTAACAAACTGAGGTAATATTTGTTTGGCTTAAATTTTGATTTTGTCTTTTTATTAGCACTGCCAAGTATTAAGCGTCTTCTTATTTTACCGAAATTATGTATGATCAAATGTCTGATGTGGGTTAGGGGGTAGCCTAACATGCTATGGTTAGATTTCATAAATATTATGTAGTTTGGCTACATGAGATTGTTAAGATTTAACTAATGATAAATATAATATAAATTACACATATATATTATTGAGGTATGTAAATTATTTATAAGATGACACTCCATAAACGAAATACAATTTCAAAAAAAAAAATTCGCTTAGTGATATTTATAGGTGATCTAAGTTTTAAATTTATTTTTTAAACTTTCATATTGAATTAATTATATTGAAACTCATAAAAATATCTCATTTCAAAGTATATGAAATTTATTTTTTTAAGCATCTAAGCTGTCTGCTTTTCTCCACCACTTTGTTAAATAAAATTAAACTCTATTTTACAGCATACTCGGATTTCAAGTTTAATAATTATATTGAACTTTTATTGTATTATATATGAAACATATTTATTTTAAAAATATTATGTTATATCTATAATATCGTCTCTAGAAGCGATTAATATTAATGAGACAATTAAAATTTATATGCCAAAGCGAATTGTTGATTTTTTAAAAATAGATAATTTTTCTCTCGTGATTTTATTAATGTGTAAGCTGACTATAATAGTTCAACTCGAGGAATGTTTAACTTAAAAGATTTGATATAATTGGATAAATTATTTAAAATTAAACAAGGTGGAGAGATATGAGTTAGGATTTAAGATATATTAAAAATGGTTTTTAATAAAATTTAATCATAATAAATCATATGAATATTAACTATTAAATTTTGACTATGGTCTACCTGAATAATATTTATATGATTTATTATTATCTATAAAATATAATATACCTTAATTGTTCTTATTGCAATTGCTATGCTTTAGTTGGTTAATAATAACGTATCCATTGCTAAAATAATCTAGCAAAGGTTTTCTAGCAAATAATATCCTTAAAAAGTAATTAACTATATAATTTTTTTCCAGTAGAAACTATATAGATTCTACCTATATTTTTTTTTCAAAAAACCGGTTATATTGCAAGATACTTCAAAAACAATTTATATAACTCATCATTTTCGATAATATGCGATCTATAAATTTTATTCAAAGGAATTTTAGTGAAAATACAATTTTAAAAATGAATAAAAATTTTAAAATTGTTATCTGCATATTTTTCTATAGAAACGAACATTCTATAGAAAAACCTGAACGTGTGTGGAATCATAATAAACGGTAATTTTATTCGATCTTTTAAGTTTTGGTTAATAATATATAACGTCTATCAACATATAGTAATTTAATAAACAACCTCCAAATTTTTTATAAAAATGCAATCTAACTAGTATCTATCTATCCTTTATTACTACAGCCACGCCCCTATCCACTCGAGGGGGTTAGTTTTCAGGAGAAGAAAAACTATCACGAACTGGGATCAAACCAGCGTCGTGTTGGGCCTCGGATCAGTCAAGATATTTTCAACCTCAATAACTGCTCTCTTAAATTAATTTATTTTATTATAAGAGTAATCTATCTATTATCAAATATTTTATAAAAAAGCAAATTTAAAAAAAGGAGATAGATCGTTGACGGCGGTTGTTGGCGGTTAATGAATACATTCACGACAATCTTTTTGCGATAATATATTTGCGATAATATATTTGCGATTTCGCGATATTTTTATTCACATAAATGCAATTGCCAAGAAAATTTTGTGGAAATAGGTTTCTTGAAAAATATACATTGGATGGACATGTTACACTTAAAAAATAGTTAAGGTATCAATAAAATATATAAAATAAATGATCTTATCTTCTAAAAAAACTATATCTAAATAAATCGTAAGAAGTGGGGGGGGGGGGGTGATCCCCCAATTACGCGCCTAAGAATTTAATGATGGTATTGCTAGCCACCTACCTATTTTTTAAATTCTTATTAATAAATATTTGACAATTTTATTTTTTAAAAAAAATACAAGTAATTGATCGAACTAAAGCTTAGTTAATTGCTCTATTTTTTTCTAGTCAATTATCAGCCGGTTTAAAAAAGGATTAAACTGAGGGGTTTTTTATTGTTGAAAATATAGATAATAACGCAAAAATAAATTAACTCCCGCCACAACGCTTAGAAAATTTTCTTCAGGAACGTGCCTGTAAATTGAGCAAAATTAGTCGATTTTTAGCGATGAGCTAACTTTTTTCAATTGTATTTCTGTTTTGAAAACCCTAGGCTCTGTTGTCTTAACAAAGTGAAGAGTTGAACCAAACATCTTATGAATTATAACCCTAAGTAGTGACTAATAATTTAATTTAGAATTTTTTTGGTTAAATAAGTTTATTATATATATAATAAAAATATGAAATTATTTATTTAGGCATCATATTATAGTTCTACGTCAGGTCAATAATCATCAATTCTTAATTCTATTAAATTTTGTGATATTCCTGGATAAGATATTTTACTTCTCAAAACCTATTTTAAACAAAAAATTAATTAATTATGACACATTTCTATTTTATTTATTTATTTATTTTCATAAAATTAATATGAATTTAACGAACCAAATAATGAATTTTTAATTGAATATAAACAAAAATATTTAAATATTTATTCGCTTAATTTAAAATATATTTTTTTAAAATATTTATATAAATGAAATTTCGTCGGTTTATTTTAATTAGCACGAATTTACAAATTATTCTTGATAATGACATGTAATAAACTTTAAAAAAATGATAATATAGAAGGAAAATACAATTTATAAATAAATTCCTTTATTCTTGGTATTTTGTAATGGAAGCTTCTGATTATTTGATAAAATTATCGCAACAATTCTTTTTCTTCACCTATACAAAACTTTTACCTTTTATAGTCATAATTGGGATAATCGGAAATTGTTTAATTCTTGTAACAAGCCATTACAACCCCACAAAATCAACTGGTTTCAAGTAAATGTTTATAATATATATGATAAATATACTATATTATATACTTTTTATTAAATAATTTAGAATCCTATTTCAGTAAAATCTAGGCATCAGAACGCGAGTTAAAATGATTTGATATTCGAGTAGGTAAGGAGAAATAAACTTATTTCTCTGAGTTTGATGTAAAATCTTCAGAAAAGTTTCGTATGTGTGTCCTCCACATCCATAAAAAAAACTATCTATTTATTGAAATCATCATATTTAATTCCGGCCTTTTGTCGATAAAATTTTATTCTCACTTTAAATATAGGTTTTTTTTTGAATTCTTAAATTGAAACCTTAAATAATAAAAAAAAATTTTTTAAAAAGACATTAGACAATTTTTATTATGTGTAGGTAATATGTATAATATAAATATATTAGTCCATGTAGTATTTTTTTTAGTACAAATATATTATTTGTTGGTAGCAGCATTTTTTTTACAATTTTTATTGAACGTAATGGAATTAATTAGCGTATACATCTATTGTTAATATATGAAAGATCTTGAATTTCGTTTTTTTAAATATTAATTTGACCCTAAATTTTTTTTTATAAAAACATGTAAACAGATGTAGTTAAAATGGTGGGCGTAATTGTAGCAAAATTTAATCGAAAACTGAAACGAATTATTTAATATTTGACATGGTACCCTCTCCCTCTCAAGGAGAAATAAAATATACTTTTAAGGCCACTTCGTGTAGTAAATGTTTATTTTTTTTAGTTGATTTACTTACCCAACTATCTGTTCAATCTAAACAAAATATAGGTTAGGGTTAAATATATTTTTTTTAAAAAATAGATAAAAATGAGTTATAGCTAATTTGTTCATCTTAGCTGTTGTATGACGTTTTACTACCTCATCGAAGAGTATAAAGTAAGAAAGGCTTGGATATTGAGAACAAAAATAAATATAAATATATGGGTACAATACAGGGAAATAATGTATTATACCTCAAAAATAATTAATAGATCCAGAAGTCTAGTTATAAATAAAAGATTCAACAATTTTTAAAATTTATTTAAGTGTTTTTTAAACTTTAAATTGCAAAAAAAGATTTAAATAGTTGAGCAATTCCTCTTACCTTACTTTAGGCCTCATTCATAGTAACTACGAAGTTAATGCGACATCGCATCACGCTCCTTAAATTACGAAATAAATAATGTTAAATAATAAAGATATCTATCGTTTAGTTATAAATATCTATTGACCATTATCTCTATTACTTTTGAGGCCCTAGTCTGTAGGGTCAGAGGTTTTAGCTGCAACCTTGAAAAGGAGAGAAATCTACAAATGCAAATGTTATTTAAGACAGGGGCATAGAAGAGCCTAGGAGCCGCTAAATCTGATTTATATTATATTAAAATATTTGTAAGGCAAAGCAATAATACTCTTTTTTCTTTAACATATGTAATTTTTTTCCTGTAAATATAAATAATTTGTCTAGACCAATCTGGCTTGAAATATTAAATATATTAACATTTAGTATTTTTTCGTTTTAAAAGAGAGGCATAATATATTTTTCTAACTATTGAAATCAATGGATCAATTAAGCCCTTGAATATAAACTGATAAGATTTAAATTGAAATTGTAGATTTATTTTAGTCCTTTTCTTATTCAATAATGCAGAATAATTTAAAATTTCTATTCCTGAATCATGTAATTTTCAATTTGGTTAATAAAGAATAGATGATATTAAAATATTTTATTTCATTTTTTTAAATCTAGATATATATGGTTTTTAGCGCTATCCGATCTTGGAGCCTGTATCTCGGTTATATTTTGGCCTTGTTTACATACACTAGCCAACATGTCCTTTTGGTTATTTGCTACTACATATGCCTGGAACGCATTTCTCATATATATAGTAAACGTATTGACAAATGTTTTTATGAAAGCCAGCACACTTTTAACTTGTGCGCTCACAATGGATAGATATGTAGCACTTCACAAACCTTTACAGTACCGGAAAATAAGCGTTCCCAGAATGGTTAATTTCGCAGTATACATTTCCTTTTTGATTCCTCTATTATTTATGTGTCCACGAGTGTTACAGTACAAAATAGAAATAAATGGAAAAATTTTACCTGCTCTAATCGAGAGGCCGAAAACAACTGAGAATAGCTTTAACTTTTCTTCCTTCATCCTCAATTCTCGTAAAAGATCCAGTTATAATAATTTTTCATTTTCCTTATTTAGCAGGAGAAAAAATGTTTTATTAAAAACTCCTGCAAAGATTACACCTCATCGTTATATACAAGCAAAGAATTATAATGGTTTAAGAAAATATATAAGAGAAACAAACGAGGAAGAAGAAAGTTTGATGGTTTATAAAAAATTTAGCCCAAAAAACAAATCCTTAGTATTTAGTGCCACACCATACGCCTTTAATTATTCATCTCATGACAAAGAGTGGATCCACAAACCTTTCTATCATTTTGTTAACAACCAAAATTTTACTAGCCTTCAATCTTACACAACTTATCAATGGTTAAGAGAAATTTCGTTGACATTTGCTCCTCTGGTAATATTAACTATTTTAAATTTGTCTATTATACGCAGGTATAAGTTAAATATGCAAAAGAGAGCTTCTATGATTAATATAAAAGGGCCATTAACGACTGAATTATCCGTTACACAAAGGCCTAAAGATTCGCTGAAAAAATCTATTGTAAATATTTTTCCGTTAATTAAAGATAAAATTAATGCGATGAAAGAAAATGATATCTCGATAGTCAATAAAAGCGAATTTGATAATAAATCAGCATCAATCGAAAACCCATTAACTAATATAGAATATCAGGAAAATAAAAGTAGCATAAAAAGATTCAATTCTCCCGTTAGTTGTATAGGGAAAGTTAAAGGTAAAAATGGTATAAGAAGTAAACAAATTTTAATAACCATAAATTCCGAGCCATCGATCAACGATGATTTTAATAAAAAATTATCAGATCCCAATTATACAAAACTTACGAAAAATGTTGAATTAAACAATCATGGTTCGCGATGCAATGGCCTTGCGAAAAAGTTAGGCGATACTATTGACGATGATGAAATTAGTCTACAACAATTAAACGAAATTCCAAAAATTGGAAGCTTAAATTCTCAGCGCGCTTATTTAATTGATCCCGCAAATAAATATCTCAAAGATAATTACAATAATGATCATATTCCCGAAGACCGTAACTTAAAAACCATGGTATCTGCTAAATTTTCCGACAGTAAAATCATGACTACATTAAATGACTCCCGAAACGAAAGAGCTAGAAAGCACTTGAAAGACGAAAAAAGGTTAACGATCATGTTATTAACTATAGTTAGTTTGCACTTCATCTGCAACATACCACAAGCGATTGTAACTATAATAGATACCAAATACCACGCGGCAAATATCAATAACGATTATGATAATAAAACCCAAAATTCCAAAAATGATCGTGGTCAAACACTTCTGAATATAGCTCTTATGTCTACTAATGTTTTGGAAGCCCTCAATTTCGCACTCAATTTTTATCTTTATTGCATTTTTATAAAGGATTTTCGCGCGCAAGTCAAAAATTTATTCTGTAAAATGACCAGCGGTAGATTTTGTAAGAAATATTTTCAGAACACACCAACTACGACCATAGAAACATCCCTCAAGAGCTATAATCAAGAATTGAGCACTTACAATAAATTGGATAAATTCTCAATTAACTGAATGAATTGTGTCTAAATAAATCATTATTATTAATCGGTTTAATCTTATAATTGAGATTTTTTTCTAATTATAAAAAACTATATAAATATTATATACCTTCTAATGTCAAAATTTCTAATATATTATTTATAAAATTTTATAAATTCGATCATGGGTAATATCACCGTAATAAAATATCCTCATTCGCAATTAATATTATGCAATATGGATATAATATTACTTATAAAATGATAACAGGTTTGTACTTAAGGAAACTATTTCGAGTGCGTCTAAATTAGAAAAATTTTTCAAAAAAAAAGAATCTCGAATTATACATTATGTGTCCAAACTCGATTTCGTAAATTTCAATAATAATTTATTTTTTTAAATAAAATTTTAACTTTAGACACCAAACTATTATATATTAAATGGACAATTAATATTTATATTTTTTATGATTAAGTTTCTTATTAAATCTTTTTTATTATTAATATACATTTATTTTATGATACATGAGAGATTTATATTTTGCTTACAAATAATAATTTTTAATTTTATTAACTTTAACTTAAGCTGTTCTTAAAAATGCTAGATAAATTTAACCTGTATTAAAATAAACTGCTACATGCATTTCATCCTTCCTCACTATTATAAATCGCAACCAGCTTACTCTAGCGCAGATTAAAATAATCAGCAAATATAAAACCTTAGAAATTTTTTATTCTTGCCTATTACATTTTCTACCAACGAACAGTTTGCTCCTATAACCTTCAGTTTTTAAAGAATTTAGCTCGCAAAATTAAATTAAAAAGACTTAAATTTAGGGAATTTTTATTCCTTAGGTAGAACATACAACTACATATCTATGAATTTAGCTTTTGTTCCATTTTAGGAACACAATAATTATGTTTTTCTTAAATTATTTTGGTAAGTTTATTTTATATAGCTCATTTAATACTTTTTTGATTTAATACAACATTATATATTTCTTATTTATTCTGGTAACACAGGTCAATTAACATAATGATATTCAATATTAATTATACATTGATTTCTTTACCATTTTACTAGCTATTGCCGTAATGAATAAGTTTCCAGAATTATAATTGTGAAAAAATTGCACCATATCACGTAAAAATTAATGCCTGCATATGCTTTTAGGTATCACTAAAACGTAAAAACAAATAGGTGATATTATTCTGATAATTAAAATATCAAAGTTACAATTTAATTTCTTTGTTATTTAGATACAAAAGCAATGTGCAATATAGATATTTTTAACAAAAACATGGTTAAAGATAAATTATAAAATTTTATATTAAAATATAAACTTTAAAAATATTATTATTCAAAAAATATTCAAAAAATATTCAAAAAAAAATTTTGAATAATATTTATGAATAAAATAAAATTATTTAAATAAGAATAGAGTTACAAGAAATTATTCTACTCAAGAAGGTTGCCAGGTAAAATTTATTTTACTGTAATAGATTTTGGTAAAAATAAACTTTGGCTGCCCTCAGACCGTGTTAAAAGGAAACTAATCCCTAGACTAAAAAATACTAATTACGGATTTATATTTCAAATGTTTATAAAAATATAGGGAGAAGTATTTTTTAAAAAATAGAAGCTTTTTATGATGATTGTATTATCATTTTTCATATAAATATGCTAATATGGTATAGCCGCGAATTCTTTAAATTTCCGACCTTTTATTGGTTATCAAATAAAACATATGTGTGATATCAGCCGCGTAACTAATGGGGGGGAGGGGGCCCATCGAAAATTTGACTGTTTTCATAAATATCATTTTAAGCTAATAAAAATTTTACTCCCCCCCCCACCCCCCCCCCCCAATCAAAATTTTACAAATATTTGAATATCAATTTTCCAACATAAAACTTATTTTTAAAATTTCCTTTCCTTGTGAGTACATTAACATTATTCAAAAATATTAATAAAAAATGGAGAAATTTTTAGTCAAGACAAAGATATTGAAATCAAACGATATATAATTTATTATTAAATATATTTATTTTATGAAATTTAAAATTATTAGTTAGTGAGTTCGAACTAATAAGTATTTTTAATAATATTTTAATTAATAAATATCTAATTTTATATTCTTTATAACAGAAAATATACAAAATTTAATATATGTCTGAGCATGAAAAAATGTACAAATAGAAATTTAAGGAAAAAATGATAAAGGTAGGTAGCACTAGCAAATATTTTATAAAAATTAGGTTAGGCAGGTTTGGTGAATATTTAATCTATATGAATATCATTCCATATGGGAATTTGCACTCTTTTTATACTTTTGCTTTGTTGCTAATCTTAAAGTTTATATAAGAATAAATCTACAAAAACCAAATTTAGATTTGGTTTAGGTAATTGATTTGGCAGAAAATATATGAACAGGTGGATAAAATAAGAACGAATGTAGATGAATATTTTGATAATATTTATGTAGATAATGAATCGAAGGCTCAATTTTATGATATATCAATAATTAAACCTCGTCTAGCACCAAGGCAATTATTGAGATGCAATATAAATATTGGATCAACTGAAGATTATTATAAAATATCTATTTTTATCCCATTCTTGGACACTTTTTTATCACAAATAAAAGTACGATTTTTAGATAAAAAACAAGTCTTTGGAAATCTTCAAGTTTTATTGCCCAAAGTTCCCTCTTCATTTTCTAATGCTACGATTGATAAAATAAAATATTCAGCCAAATTTTATTCGTACGATATTGATTCGGAGATAAATTTAATCAGCGAATTTGAATTCTGGTATAAATATTTATTACGTTTAACTATTTTACCTGAGCAAGCCATTGATGCACTAAATCGTTATAAAGATATCTTGGCTCAATTTCCCGATATTTTGAAGTTATTTTATATTCTTGCATGTTTGCCTATTACAACATGCACGAATGAAAGGACATTTTCAAACTTGAGAAGGCTGAAGACATTTTTACGAAGTACTACTTCAGAATCTCGGCTAAATGGATTAGCTATGTTAAATATTCATAGAGATTTAGTTCCAACGACGAACGAAATTCTAGATGAATTGGCAACATCCACACGAAAATTAAAAATTACATTATAGTTATAGTGTTTAATAAACTTTTTGATAATATTGTATTTGATAGAAGTTATTGCTTTAAATTATTTTCTAGTCAATATTTTATACACTGTAGTATTTTCAATAAAAAAAAAAATTATTCTACTTATATTGTATGAGAATTTAAGCTGAGGCTAGTTTTTAAAGCAAATTTTAAAATAAAATGACATTAAACTTTATTTCAACTTTACATTAAAAAAACTTTATTAAATATAACATACCTAACTTAAAATAATAAAAAATAGGCTTGTAATATCGATATGCACAAATTAGTAAATAAAAGTTAAAAATAGATATATAATTATTATGAATAATTTAATAAAATAGTTAAACATAAGACCCGGCCGAAGGTCGAGCAAAAGCTGACCGATGGCCAGCTAATGGGGTTTGGGGGCGAAGCCCCAAAAAATCCCCCCCCCCCATAAGAAAATCCTGGATACGCCACTGTGTGATATATTTCGGAAATTTCACGAAATAAGTAAATGTGGTAGTCTACTAATCAATGTGAGAGGCATGAAAGTTGCTAAAATAGTAATAATTAAATTCCATATATAATTATTATTGATCTTTATTATCATCTTGAACTAAGGCCGATAGAATCAACATTAATGGTATAATAAATTAATCAAGTCTATAAGATTATATAAAAAAAATTAAAGTTAAAAAAAAAATAAAAATATATAATCCAAAAATTAAAAATGGCAACAAAATATAAAATTATAATTTGAAAAAAAATGTAAAAACTTTATCTAAAATTAACATACTCGATCTTCTCATTTAATAGAATTTACATAGTCTATATTTTATAATTTCTAATTAAAAAAAACATCCGATAATGATATCATAATAACGTATGCAAATTATATAACCCAATGGTTAGTTTACCCATTTTTCAGATTGGAGGCAGAGAGCGAACGGTGATAGACTTTGCTGAAAAAATGCTTGTAAGGTTTAAGTTTTTTAATTCTATTAAAAGCTAAATTATTATTGTATATTAATTCTGTTATAAATAACATGAACTGACAATTAAATAAATGAATCTATTGCATATACTTTATTATTTCAGTTTGAGCAGTCTCTTGATTACATTATTTCTATGTCCAGATAAAAATCCTACAAGATATGTTTTATGAGTTGGCAAGTATGGCTATAAAAATATTTTAGATCTAATTTTTAATTTAAGTTCTTATTTCAAGTAGCCCAGGTGATAAAAATTTTTGTCAATTTAGTCATTTTTTAAATATTATAGAGCAATGCAATAAAATTTAAATTGTAGAATAAGTATATAATTTAATGAATATGGTAAGAAACAATTCTTATAGGTTTCTAGTGGACAAAAATATAATGAAAATCTTGTTTCACCATCATATTCTATGAAATTTAATGTTGCAATTTGATTATTTTAAACTATGTCCAATTTCTTTTATCTTTGAATTGTTGTGGGAATAAAGAATTTAGATATAGGGCTTAAATATAATTTTATAATATATGAATATATAATAAAAATAGCGCATTAACTAGAATATAATTAATGTCTATTGGAATGGATTCAAATTTCGTATATGAACTCAATACTTGATTAATAAAAAAATATTTAATTTAAAGTTTTCAATATGAAATGCAAGCGCGCTAGCCTTCTTATCCATAGACACATTTTTTTTTTGGATTCGAATACGACGAACAAAATAATTGAGCCATAAATAACTAGGGCCTGGTTTATCGTCAAAAATATCAATAAAATATTGGCTAGTACTAATCTATAAGCTCAGCGGCAAAACTATATTGGGGCGAAATCTAAGAACTGGATTAGATTGGTTACGCTCAAATGTAAATGATGCGATGGAACAATCAAATATTTGACAAAAGGAAGCTCATGATGTACACACTCAAATGAGGAAATTTGGGGTTTCATTAACCTGTATAGGTACATATTAGAATCAATTTCGGGTTAAGAGAAGGAATTATAAAATTCACAACTGTTAGATATTTATATTCAGTAAAAATTAAATATAGATCGATACAGAGCATGCTTATTAACTCCGAAAAAGTGGCATAGAAAAAGAAATGGAGAAGTCAGGTAGTTATGAAGAAAATATGAAGTCGGAAGATGAAAATTCGGATAATGTAGAAAGACCACTTATAGAAGGAGACCGGCGAAACAAAAAAGATTGATAAAATTTGAGTTCACATGATATGTCTTCAATGAATCCTTAAATGGAAACAACAATGAAGCAGAAATCACAAAGATCGAGGAAGCCTGCACATTGTCTGATCCCTATACAATTCTTACATTATTAATAATTTTTTGATGATAATTGTACTCCTTTTATAACAATAAAAGTATTTTTATTAATAAAACTAACATGAAAATTTTTTAATGTTTTATAAACAAATTTAAAACTTTAAATTAAATAAAAGTTATAAATCGATCTTCTTAACAGTTATGTAGAAGTGACTGTCAGAATATGCTGCAAATTCTTTTTATAATAGCATCTATATTATCAGAATAAATATTTACAATTAAGATATATGGTTCCATGTTATTTCTGAAAATGGTTAAATTGCTTTGATATTTCACAGATGATTATTTTATCTGTATAAATATTTATGATCTGATTAATCTCTTGCTTATCATTTTTTTCGTTATGTTCTTCATCCTTTATATCAGAGAAATTGTTTTATTATAATTGTTGCCCATTTTTCTATATGTGTTTATGCATCTTCCATATATCTGACAATTTCGAAGCAACTTTTTTATATCATAGTAAAATATATTTTTAGAGATAGGGTTAAATATATGGCTTGTAGATATTGGTTCATAGTTAAAATTATATATTCTGCCATTTCTAAAGCTGAAGGATGGCGTGTTACAAAAAAATCGTAATCAAAATCGGTTGCGATTTCCTTTTTTATAATTTTAACGTGTATTTTTATTTTTCCCTAAAATATTTTAAGGGGTAGGAGAGAATTATTGACAAGGAAGGGAAAGAAGTGCCTCCCGGCCTCATGCTTGATACCCTCGATGATCGTTAAATATTAACCTCACATAGACCCTATGGGATCATCAACTCAACTTTTAAAAGCAGTATAAGGAGGACAAAATAAAGATGCTAACGCTAACTGACTTTAGTTAACACTTGAACGTTATAGTGAAACGAGTGTAAATAATAAACTTACAACAAAAGGAGGACAAAATAAGATTTTATTTTATTTTAATACATATTGAAATTAAATATGGACAAGAAACTAATTAAGATAAATCGTCATGTTTTAAAAAAGTAATAATGTGGTAAATATATAATTGTGATGATAAAATGAATTTTTTTTTGATCTTTGAGAATGATCAAGTAAGATATTTGTATAAATTTCATCTAAAATTCTAATTTATCTTTTGTAAAAAGTCTTTTTAATATTTGAAAATATTTTAAAATTTCTCATATGTAATCTATTTTACATTCATTTATTTCGATAAAAATATGATAATACTATAAACTTTTGTAATAACTATAAAAAAATAATTACTACATAAAAAATATAATTATAATTAATTAAGATATTCCATTGTTCCACTAATTTGATAATGGTACCTTTTTAGGAATTAAAAGAGTTAATATTATAATAATTAATATAAATAAATTATAAGGATTGCCTAATTAATCAGTTGTCAGGGATAACCCAACTCTAAATAGCTTTGCATAAAGAAAAAATCCGTGTAAAAAATAATATTCCCAACAATTTCATTTCTTGAATTAGGGCGGGGATTGATTGCTCGATATTAAAAATTTTCATTGGAATTTAGCTGAGGTGAATATGGTGGTAAGAATTTAATCCTATACCTTTATAAGTATTGATAAGATAGCTTCTAAAGATAGATGCATTATCCATCACAATAATTGCATCTGGTGGTAAGAATATGTTTTGTCATAAAATCATGGAATAATAGCCAATTATAAGCTCCTTCGACTATTTTATAATGAATTACCCCTCCAATTGCAATTGACAAACAAAGTATCTTATATTTTTAATTTTTATCATTGGACGCACATTGTATGGCGGAAACAGTGTCTACATGAGCGGGGGGGGGGGGGGTAGGAACAGTTTGCATCCTAATATCTATAAAGGGGTAGGGGGTGTGGTAGGGGGTAGACATTTTGGGGGGTAGGCTATAATAATCTAGAAAATTTTTCATTACATTTTTAAATTATATATGGATAACATTTTGGTATTTTTAGGGGGGTAGATATATATTTTTAAGGGGGGTTTGCATCCAGTGAATATACTGTCATGTAGACGCTGGGCGGCAAGGCGTAGATTGGTGTAACATGCAAGTTTACTCCAATTTTTTCTAAGAAATAAAATTTTTCCCTTGAAATATTTAAAATCTTTACACAATAGATTTGACGAATATTAATTGCTCCAGGAGTTCTTCTATCAGGCTCCTTGCCAGCTCTTTTTTTTACCAACCTATATTTTTGATATATCTATTAATGATAGTTTTCGTTTTTGAACTATCAGGGGGCAAATTTTCTATTATCTCCTGGATATTAAGAGTGTTATTTCCCATTGTATCTTTCAATTATGGAAGAATCATTTTTCTTACTTTCTCTTTTTTGATTGCTTTTAGAGGATCCCCATTTATTTCTGGGAAGTTATCGCGTTTAAGTTTAAGACCGATGCCATAGACATTTTGAAGTATCTTGCGATTCTTTGATCTTCATCTGTTGTTTTTCAGGCATTGATAATAGTAACTATATCATTTTTTCTTTATTCCAATATTTTTGTATTCTTTGTCTTTGTTTACAACGAAAATTGAGAGTTTTCATTTAAATTGGAAAAATCTGTGTTGCTCTTGGATAATAAAGATTTTATATTAAACATTTTATTTTATTATTTAATAAAATTTAAAAAAATTAGTTAATATTTTACTAACAAATTTTTTTTTATTTTATATTAAATTTCCAACACTTTATATTTAAACATGATTAATCTTAATTAATTGCTTGTCTAAATATGTATTAAATTAAAATATAATCTTATTTTGTTTACCCTCTTTTGTTGTAAGTTTATTATTAACACACTGTAATTTAAGCATATGATACTTGATTATATAGTAACATATGTCAATCATTTTATTTTTTAACAAACAAGAATAAATTCTTTAAAAATTATGGATATCCATGAAATTCAAAATGTTAAAGATATAGATCAGTTTGAAGAAGCAGCAACAACCGAAAAGAAAAAGAAAAAAAGAAAACCCAAAAAACGTTTGAATTTTGAAATTCTTAATTTTTATTACTTTATTCAGAAATCTCTACCTCAGATTTGCCCCAAGATGAAAAGTCAACTATCTCAAAAATCAAAGAAATAAATATATCTGAACCTCAACATACCTCAATAATTGAAAAGGATAACACTGATGAAAATGATGATGAGCCTAGTCAAGAAGGTTTGGTAAATTATAAATATATCATTTTTAAAATTATTAGTAGCTGTATTGAATGGGGATGCAAAGAAAAAGAAAAAAAAGAAGAATAAGAAAAAAAGTAAGAAAATTTAATTATGATAAAGATACATCAATGATAGTTTCAGATATGGTTGATTGTGATAATATGGTCAAAAAAGAAAACATACCACCTAGTATACCTGTGCAAGAACAATTTTCTAATCATATATATCCTCAGGGGCAAATTTTAGAATATTATTTAATAGAGCAGGATGGGTAATTTAAATGATTTTTATTATATATATTTATTTTAGTAAGACAGGCAAATACAGGATAAACAGTGAGGAAATGAAGCAGCTTGAAAGTGGTGCACATTTTGAGTATTACAATGATATAAGACATGCTGCTGAAGTTCACAGACAAACGCGTAAATATGTTCAATCATATATAAGACCAGGAATGACAATGATTGAAATTTGGTAATCATTAATTTTTATGATATGAATTATTTCTGTTTTCAATTACATTTTTTTAATTATGGTTGATAGTTACAAACTACTATTTGCCCTTTTTTAAATTATTACTATAATTTTAAAATATTACTAACACTTGAGCAAGAAAATTATGAATTAAATAAGGTTTGTAATGAAATAGATATATTAATTAAAAAATATGGAATAATATTTGAGGATATTTTGGGATATTTTAAGGACTACCAGGGGACAATAAATTCCAAGAGAGGTTATTCCCATTTTTAGGGTGCCGCCGAGTACCTTTTGATGGGGAAAAGAAGTGGAAATCGAATTGGACCGGTGGACAACAATTCAATTAAATACTTTATTTTCAATCTACCATAATCTTTGAATTTTTGTTATAACTCATTGATTTATTATGTATATTTATCATTTTGTAAATAATAGAATTTCCTCCTTATTTTATTAATAACCTTTACACTAATACTATATAATACATCATAAAATTGATAAATGATAAAGATAAAATGAAGTCATGCTAAAAAGATGATAATTAAAATTAATTAACTGGAAACTATCACTACTGTTTAATCTTGGGTGTCCTGAAAGATGTTTCATTTCTTGAACTACCATATTAGCAGCATTATCTAATATTAAAAGGCTAATATGAGCATATATTTCTTCAATGATTATTGAATATAATATTTTATAGCTTCTGGGTATAGTATAAGTTTTATATCAATGATACATCCTTCATTCTCTAAGATTGGTCCATAAAATGATCTATTATATTTACATGAGGATTATTTTGTGTATTTCTCTCTACACTGTAATGTTTATTATCTATAATTATATTAAAATATTTTTATTTTAATAATTCTAATTTTTTGGCGTCACACATAGATAAATAATTTTTTTATGGTTCTCAATGGCTAGGTGCTATTTACAATAAACCATGCTATTAATTTATTAATAGTATTATTTTGATTATTGGCTACGTTCTCATTTATTACAAATTTTTATAAGTCAATTCCCTTTATAATTTTTTATATCTTTATGATATGCCTATCATCTTTTCAATACCTATAATGGTAGAATTAAATAAAAATACTTATACCTCATGTATTAATAAATACTGTTTAACTTCTAGATAAAAATTATGTAGTTTGATCAATATTTGCTGACATTAAATTTATATATTGCAACTTAAAATTTTCATTAATATTATTTTTTATCTTATTTATTTTTTATCTTCCAAAATATCAATGATAATAAAATATAATCATTTCCTCAACTTCCATTGAATTTGGCGAAATATAATAGAATCACCAGACATTAATGAATAACTGATTAAAAAGACTTCAATTTTAAATTAGAATTAATTTGCCTATTTAATATAACAAGATTTCTAGGTATTTTTTATTTTAGGGCGGACTAGAGGTTTGTAATGGGTGGGTTAAATATTTTAAACATTGGATGTGTGGGTGGGCTGGGTATAGATATTTAGAACTAAGGATGGGCTGGTGGCAAAATGTGCAGAAAGAGTTTAGATTTATTGAAAATTATTTTCTTATTTCATAAATATTGCTAATCAACCAAAATAATGTTTAAACAGTAGATGGGCAGGTAAATTAAACAAATTTATTCAATATGTTTTTTATAAAAAGCATAACAAACAGACTGGAACCAAAGTTGTCGATTCTAGGCAAATTAAAATTTGAAGTATTTGATTTATGTTTTTCTAATGTTCAAGCAACCATATGACACAGGCTTAATTCGGATTTGATAGACAATTCTTTTTTTACCGATATTTTATAACTTCCCAATACTCTCATTCATTTTATTACCTATTTTAGTTTAAGTATAATCAATACAAAAATAAACTCTCCCTGTGGAAAAATGATTCTACAGTCATTTTTTTTAATACTAAGTAGAGAGCCATTTTTTTATTGATTTTTCGAAAGTGAAGCAATATATAGTTCAGTTGCTCTGACATATTAAATTCACTTTAACCTTTGGATGTGCTCAGCCTATATATAAAATTTTTTTAAATGGGCAAGTTTTAATAAATAGACTAAAATAGGAAAATAATTATAAAATAAGATTTTTAATAACTTTACTAATAAATATTTTAAAAATTATCAAGTAAAAGACATAATAAAATTTCTGATAATCATTTTAGTGAAACATTTTAAAATAATAATTAAACTAAATGCTTTCTTCTTTTACTATGTTCAAAAAATCTTATGCTTGAAGATAAATTAAATTCACAAAACTGAGCTTTTGTATCCAATTTAATAATATAAAAATCTCGATTATTTGGCAGGAGATTGCTTCTTTCAACTTAAGTAAGCATTAACGATGTTTCCTGAAAGCTGTGGATATGACTATGTAAATAAATGTAATAAAATATAACTGGATAACATTTAAATACTCTTGTCTACAAATAAAGTTCGCTATCGTCTAATGATAGTTTACCTGGATGAACTAGTTTCCCCTCTGATTCCTTTTCTCTATTTTTACTGTTCGGGGCTTCGTTATGTAAGATCTATTTTCTAATGCCACCCGTTATCACTTTCATTCGCGTCGCCGCTGGTCTACCTCAAACCGATCCCATTACTTCTCAAAATACATCTATCTCATCACCCAATCATTTTTTGTCTTCCTATTAAATTGCTCAAACCACCTCATTCTATTTTTTTGCATTGCCACTCCAATCTTATATCCCAATCTTTCCCACAATTCGTTTATTCTTTTTCTCTCCCACCTCACATTCATCTAATCATTCTCATCTCTATTATTTAGCTTTGTGTTCCGCTTTCATTACCCATATACCTAAACGAATTATTTGATTTGATTTATATTTTACGAATATAAATAACAAAATTATTCGAAAATACGAAATAAGGTAAATATATTTTTCGTCAAATAATTTTTTATCCACTATTCAATGGATTCATTTATAAATATTAGAAATTATGCGTAGGTATGAAACATGTTCCACGCAAAAAAATTATTTTTATCTTTATTTTTACAAATATCTTTAAAGAATTTAATCTCACGAATCGTATCAATAATGTTTTTATTAATATTCATACGAATAAGGAATGATTCGATTCGTGGTTTTGTAGTACCGAATACCATACAGTAAACTTTTCTTTGTTAGAATAGACGACTTCTTTCGGAACTATTCCATACATATCTGACTCTTGCTACAACAGTAGAATCAACACCTCCTGCCTTCAGTGTGTCATTTAAAAAACAAAACATTCTCTTATTTTTCACAAAGTAGCTCAATTGCCGATATCTATTTAACCTTTATCTATTTTATTAAGGATGTACCGATATTTATATCGGATCGGGCCGATATTTCGCTCATTTTAAAATATCGGTTATCGGCAAATATTATAAAATTTTCCGATCCGATATAAAATGGCGCTTTTAACAAAATTTAAAAAAAGTTATATCTAAAAAACCATTTATTTTTATAAATAAAATCGAAATACATTTTTATGTTTAATTTTTTTAATAGAAATAATTAGTTAATAAACATTCTGCAATATAGTTATTTTTTTTCGCAATCTGTTTAAAAAAGTGTTCATTAATCTCTTCAGTATCTGTTTTTAGTGATGCTAGTGATATTAACAGTCCCCATCACCGCCGACATATCTCTGATATAAAAAGAAATCTTCGATATATTAATTTTAAATATTAATTTCAAATTTCATAATATATTTTTTTATTACTAATTATGTAAATAGATTAATGTTATTACTTATTATATAAATAATAGCAATTGAATTGAATATAAACTATAACTGACCATTATAATATATTTAAATGACATATGTTATGGTATAGTAAAATTATAGATGTTGTACTAATAAAAAGTATATTAAAAATTAAAACCGGCATCTTTGCAGAATACAAAATTAGATATGATATCGGATCGGTTATCGGCCGATATCAATTTAATATCTGAAATATCGGATCGGATCGGCCTCCAAAAAGTGGTATCGGTACACCCCTATATTTTATCATTATCATGGACCTTTTTTTTCAGATAAAAGTCGCATTTGCAATCAGCATGCTTCCTTTCTCACCATTACATCTTTTGCGCACCCATTTATGGCAACGGGTGCAGAATTGAATTTCTATCAACATCCACATATATATCACACGGCCAACCATTTCTTCTTTATTTCCTAACCATTAGCCTCCAATCATCACCTTACTCTTTTCTTCATTTACTTTAAAACCTTTTGCTTCCATATGATTATCGTATCCTTTAACTCGGTTTCACTTGTTGCCAACAATATAAATCAGTGTGCATTCATGGGAATCCTCCGCGTACCTCCCTCGCCATTACTTGATAAATAATAATCAAGACTGATCCTTGATTTGCCCCACCTTTATTTCAGAGCTTTCGCTATCAACATCATGTGTTCTAGCAACTGTTCGGCCATTCTCATGCATTGCCATCACTGCCGAAACCAACCACACCTGGTTTTATCAAAGAGTAACCCTGCCCGGGGCCATGAACAAACCCATTCTTCAAGTCTTGAAAAACATATTTTATCGTTTTTGTAGGCTTGGAGAAGGCGTTTGAAAGGATCACACGCTAGATTTCTCAGATATAAACAATCTTTATTATTATTATGTTATACTACCAACATTACGAATAATAATGAAAATATTTTCATATTTTATTGGTTATTGACACATCCTTTCCAATCTGTCATCATATCCTATCTGAAGTAAAAGATGGGGCCAATCTTTAAACTTCTATTACAGTCATAATATAGGTTTTATTGCCTCATCTTATTTTACAATTTATGTTATTCAAACAAAAGTCAAAGGTTAGAGGATACCGCCCGTCATTTGATTCAAGCTAAAGGACTCGAAGCGGGCCTGGCCTTTCCTACTGGCTGTTCGCTCAATAACTGTGCCGCCCATTATACTCCCAATGCTGGGGATGCTACGGTTCTACAATACGATGATGTGTGTAAAATCGATTTCGGGACTCATATAAAAGGTTCCTCTTTTTCTCATTTTTTTTTAGTTTAATTGATGAATAATTGTTCTCGTTACTTAATTAAGAAACCACTACTACCCTCTATGAATCTTTAAGAGTATACCTTTTTTTACCCACCCATCCCATACCACCACTTTACACCGCCCCCTCTATACTATACCTTTCGGCATCTTGATATAAAACCATCCATGGGTGGACACTTTATCGAGGTTTAATCGTACTATTATGAATTCATATTATATATTCATAATTTATTAATGAAAATTTTATATAAAAAACAAAACATTTGAAAGGTCGTATAATAGATTGTGCTTGGACCGTTTCGTTTAACCCAAAATACGATAAATTGGTAGAGGCTGTAAGAGAGGCCACAAATACGGGAATTAAGGTATAAATTTTTATTTTACATAGCAAGTTTAAAATTTTTTTAACGAACAGCTGATTGGCGCACCACATTTTTTTCTACAGAACATATTTGAAGTGGGGGTATAAGGGTACAGGGCTAGTAAAAACTGAATCATAAAATCTTTTTTTTTAATGTCAATTTATTAATTTTTTAAATCTTTTTTAAAAAATAACGGGTATTAAACTTCAAATTTTATTATTGGTTTTGTTTTTTGAAATTTTAAAATCCTTGGTTTTTGTTAAGTAGCATTTTAAAATTAATTATATATATATATACGTTATATTTGAATCGGAATAAATAAATTAAAGACCGCTGGTATAGATGTTAGACTCTGCGATATAGGTGAAGCCGTCCAGGAAGTTATGGAATCTTACGAATTGGAGATTAATGGGCATTCATATCCAAGTTATATATACATATATATCAGAATATTGTGTTTATATTTTTTGCGATACAATATCTTAGAAGTCAGGTTTCAAAACTAGAAGGGAGGGTTCGTTATTAACATGTTAATATGTGATTTCCTATTGCACTTCCTTATATCGTCTGCAGAATTAAAGTTTATTCATTATAACCATAGTTTGAAATGATCTTGAAAAAATTTTGATCTCTTGAGATTTTTTTCATGAAAAATCTTTTATGATTAAAATCAAAAATTATATTTTGAAAAAAGAGAAGCTAAGGACTTAAAATTAAGCCGAAGTCCTGTTAGGCCATGTTCAGGCACAACATTTTTTTAAAGCGGTTTTTGAGGCATGTTTTCACAAATTTTTTATTTTATTTCCAAATAAGAGATATTAATTTGTCGAATTAATTTTTTATATAAACTTGATGTTTTGGGATTTCTTAGATACCATTTAATCGTTAACAAAAAATTTGTCAGAAACATGCCTCAAAAACAGCTTTGAAAAAACGTTCCTGTAAATGTTTTAAGAGATATTATTAAAAGCATCTCAACATAAAATCAAAATATATAAAGGACCCCATAGAAAGAAAAATATAGATATATTATATACTTGTACTTCTTATATTTAGGCAAATTAAAATATAGCCATTGTTAATTTTTCCTTATTTATATGCCCCAAAAGTTTCCTCTTCATTCAGAAAACCCCGATGATGTATATATACTACTAGATTGGTCATTTACTAATTAAAAGTGTTTATACTTACGAGTAAGCTTTAACGCCATTTTTTGGTTTGCACGTCGACTAGATATCATTATCTACTTACATACCATAAAAATGGTGCTACTACTTACTTCTATGTATGGACACTTTTAAATACATTTAATTAATGAGAATCGCCAATTTAATAATAGATTTTTGTAAAACCCATATTTATTTATTTTTCAAATTATGGCATAGTTATACGATAAGATCTTTACTACATAGGAAATCTTTATTTTTTATAAAAAAAAATTTCTTTTTAACACACAAAGTAAAGGCTATCAGAAACTTGAATGGGCATTCAATAGGTCCTTATTGCATTCACGCGGGAAAAACAGTGCCTATTGTGAAAGGTGGCGATAACACACGGATGGAAGTCAACCAAATAATTTTTATTATCTACTAGATATTAACACAGCAAAGACGTGTAGGCTGGCCCTTCCGGCTCGGGTACAAGGGTCTGGCCTATTTTAATTTTTATTTATATACCCTGGCTGGATTAAAAAAAAATTTTTAAATACCCTGAAAATTTTTTTTAAATACCCTGAAAATTTTTTTTAAATGACCAGGCTGTATATTTTAAAATCAAATATTTTAAATCGTCAATATTAGCTATAAAAATTAAAAATAAATAAAATATATTTTAAAAAATCCGGGCCAGGCTTGAAAATATAAATCATGGCAGAAATAATTTTTCTTATTAAAAATGGCTAGGCTATTCAAATAAGACCCATAAATATCTCTAATTATAAGTGATCGTTAACCTCCAAATGAGCTTGGACAAAAGTCATAAATCATCCTTAGTTGCTTTTACGTTTATACAAAAACGAATCTAATAATAAATTATTTATATTATATTCCTTTAAACAAATCATACAATTTACTATTTGTATATGAATAATAAAATTTCCTTTATTATTTTGGTATTTAAATAATTAAATATTCGTATTTGTTTATGAATAGACCTCGTTTCTGTTATATACAAAATAAAACTAAGATGTTTATAAAAAAAATAAAGTTTTGGCTTGAAGACCTCTAAAAAAAGTTGGGGGTTCACTTTAATATTTAACAGAATCTTAACTGAAATACATTAATTCTATAAATATTTTATCTTGTATAATTATTTTTTTGTATCTATTTCCTATAATTAATTATGATAAACATTTTTTTAGGAGAATGAGCTATACGCCATTGAAACATTTGGCAGCACGGGGAAGGGTCTCGTTCATGATGATATGGAGACTTCTCATTACATGAAGGATTACGATTCTGCATTCGTTCCAATTCGGTAATTTTTATGTCGTAATTTGCTCTAATTATATTTATTAAAAACCTGCACTCATCCCAGCTCAAAAAATTAAAAACGATACTGATGCCATGAGTATCGAGTAATACCTTATGCTGGGTATCGACGTCAGAGCATCCTTTTAGTTTTTTTTTTAAATGCATTAAAAAATTACTTTTCATAATTTTTATTTTTCATTCAAAGACTTAACAGTGCCAAATCTCTACTAAACGTCATTAATCACAATTTCGGTACTTTAGCCTTTTGCCGGCGATGGTTAGATCGCGTTGGACAAACAAAGTACAGCATGGCTCTTAAGAACTTGTGCGATTTAGGCGTCGTTACTCCTTACCCTCCGCTATCCGATATCAAGGGATGCTATACCGCTCAATTCGAACACACCATTTTGCTTAGACCTACCTGTAAAGAGGTTCTGAGCCGAGGCGACGATTATTAAACAAACTCTCACCAACTTGGTATTTACCATTCTGCATAAACTAATAACTAAAATTGATTTTTGACCAATTATTTTTGAAAAAAAAAGTTTTATTCTTTTTAATACTAAAAAAGGAACATGTGCATTCTTATTTTATTCGTATCGCGTAAATTAGTTTATTTTTCTAATTATTGGATTGGATTATGATTATTTTTCACTTAAGATTATATGAATTATCGAGGATAATAATTAAAAAGATCTATCAAGCTCTTTCTAAAAAAAATACCATATTCGTTTTGATATAAAAAAAATATCTATATTATTACACGTTTTGATGGTCAAATATCCAGACTAAATTATATTATTCGCAAATTATAATAATAATAAAAAATTTGATATGATATATGCTAGATTATTTTTTTTCATTATTATATTTGTAAGAATTAGCTCAGAATTAAGAATATCAGAAGTATTTTTTATTAAATCAAACAAAGATAAAATTCTAATAACATAATTTGAAAATCAAAAAATATAATTCATCGTTATATCTTTATATAAGAAACGATATTTCACTTTACCATATCAACAAGAAAATATATTAACTTTTACAATTATCGATAATTATTTGCTGTACTGCGACTATATGCAAATACACATTAAAGATAATATAATATTATTTTTTAAAAAAACTAATAAAATATAATGTAAACAATATCACTTCAATTTTGTATTTATATGTTTAAAGTTTAGGATATTTTTTAACTATTTTCCTCAAAATAAACAAATCTTTTTTTCGAATCTTAAGGCCACTTCCACAGGTTTTTGGAGTTTATTTTCTATTTATTTAATAAGGTTTGAAATGGGGATGGATCAGATTGTTTTTTTTTTAAATATTATATTATTTGAAAAAATTAATTCAACAAATTATTATCCTTTGTTTGTAAATAAAAAAAATTGCTGGTAACATTACCCTAAAACCGCTTTGATAAAACGTTCTGTCTGGAAAGTGGCCTAAGAGGGTGTTTATTTAAAATGACGTAATAACGCTGGAAATTAAAATATAATAAAACAAAAAATAATTATTAACTACCCTGCATGACATCTTTTTCCCTGTGCAATTTATGAATAAACCATTATTAATTAGCTAAGAATAAAATTATTTTAAAAAAGGAAAAAACAGGAATATTTTAAACACATTTAGGCTCCCGTTCTAAATCTCTCTAAAACTGGGAATCTCGTGTATTTTTCATAGAAAATTTTATCAAATTGGGAATACGGATGATTTTCCTCTATTTTTAGTAATTTTTTTAAAAATTTAAATTAAAAGTGTTTACTTCCCTAGCATTTATTAATATTAATTATTTACTCTAATTTTCTATGAGATAAGCGAGATTCCTCATTTTTAGGAATTTAGAACCTATCCCCTACATTTAATATATTTCGAAAGAATTATAATGTTATTGAAAAATAATAATTGCGAGGATTTTTGATTCATTTTTAAAAGATAAGTTTTTATATTTTATTATATTTTTTATTAAATTAAATTTATGTATAATAAAACAACTAGGAAAAGATTTTATAATAACGACAAAAAAGATAGAAAATATATTTAGATTTTTTCCCCTTATTTTTCTATCTACGCAGTTATATAGAATCAAAGAGAAAAAATATGAATAGGTTTGTGCATTTATGTTTAGTTTATTTTTAACGAAAAATACTCTTTATAAACAAAATTATTTATAAATCAGCAGGGCGTCGATACATCGTTAAAGTGGTGGTTGGTATGGTCAAACCTAGTGCTGTTCCCCCTCAGTCACATTTGGCGCGAATTCGCGGCGGATAAAACAAAAACACAGCATATTTATTTTACTTGTCACGAATTCGTGCTAATTGTGAATAAGAGGTTTAACGCCTCGATATTTAAAAACGGCTAAACCAATCTTTTAGCTGAAAAAAGTTACTCAATCCTGGGGAGATTTCACTCAAGATGGCAGAAAGGTTTGGACATCTATTAAAGAATTCTCGAGGCCTTGCATAATATTTGGGCTAAAATCATAAATTAAAATTGGCTAAATCGAGCCGTTTAGCAACACTGTTTCTTTTTATAAATATAAGATCGAAAAGTCATTTTGAATTTAGATTCAAAAAGTTGTTATAAATAAATATAATATTCTGAGCCATCAAAGAGTTTAAAAAATGGACTGACAAAAAATATTCTCACTATTTTTCAGGATTCGGTTCAGATGATTTCTAAAAATTTTGCATCTAACTTGATCCTGTTCTGGTTCTAAACCCCGCTTTGATAACAAAGTTCTTCCGGCTTCCTTGCGGAAAAAAACTGGCCAGGTGAAGGATGGGTTGTAGACTAACATAAAATAATTGATATTTAAAAAAAATTAATTTTAATGTTATATTTGATTATTTAATTTGTTATTATATAAAATAGAATTAATATTTATATACTGTGTCTAAATTAATCTTAGTTTCATCAGTATATTGATTAAATATTTATAATTATTAAATGGTAGAAATATTTATAAAAATTATTTATATCTGCTTAAGTTTAAACAATATTATAATGATTTTTACCCAAGATCTTCCCCGGGGTTTTTTTTAAAAATATATTTATTTTTAATTTTTATAGATAATGACCATTGGTTTTAAAATATATGGCTTGGTCTAGGTATTTTTAGACCCGGCCTAGGTATATTTAAAAAAATAAAACTACGGCTCGGCCCGTGTACCCGGGTCTGCAGGTCTCTGAACAATATAAATCAGTTGGTAGCTCACTGTTTTAGTTTCACATGTAAATAAACACATACAAACTTTTTGAAAGTCTTAAAAATTCAAAAGTTTAATTTATTTATAAAAATTCTTAAATATGAAACCAAAATGAGGGTCACCAGCTCATTTATATTTAATGAAGCTCCAAAGTGCATTTTAATGGACGAATCATTAGTTTAGGTCAATGGCCTCTACACTTTCTGAGCGATGAAAGCAGAATATCCCCCTCCCCCTTTAGAAAAATGGGCAATTATTTTTTGACACCCATACACCCATAAATTTCAAAAATTATTTTTTATTGGAACAATCGTTAATATATAATATAAATAAAATAACATATTATTTTTAAATTAATCATTTAGACAAATTATGGGAAGAGAAAGCAAAAGAATTTATAATTTCATCAATATTTAATTGTTTAAATAAAAAAAAATTTCCATTGATAAAATGCTTAAGTTATTAAGAAATGGATCTTTCATAGTACTACGAAGTCTTGTTTTAATTAATTTAATTTTACTCAGGACCCTTTCGGCAATACGTGAGGTAGTAGGAATGGTTAATAAATAAAATTGTTAAATTAAGAAAAATTTAAAAGTAGATGATAAGGTAAAATAAACGAATAGTTTTTCCAGTCTGAATTATAAGTCTCAGAATCAGAAGAAACTAAATAATGTATTAGTAAAAAATTTAATAGAATAAATTTATAATTCTTAGAGTCTGTCACTTGTAATAATTACATCCCCCGTTTTAGCCATCTTATAAATATTTCGAAATCTCAACATTTCTTTGACTTGAATTTAAATGGTAAAATTCACAGGTATCCTCGATGTCATTTTTAACGATTGACTTTTCCGCCATTCCATTTGATGTAAAAAATGGTGTTTGATTTAAAAATTTCATCGATTCATCTTTAAATCTTTCATTAAACTGCATAATAATCAAATCAAGTGTATTAGTTGTGCAAAGGTAGAAGGTCCAGGGTGTAAATTTGGCAAGGACGAGATAAAGAGAGCAGTGAAAAAGATGAAGAAAGGGAAGGCATCGGGTTTAACGATGGTGGTATCAGAGATGTTTAAAGGTTCTGATGATTTAGGGATTGAATGGTTAATGAATTTAGCAAATCAGATTGTCACAGAAGGTACTATTCCCAAGGACTGGCGAAGAAGTATAATTATCCCAGTATACAAAGGGAAAGGTGATCCTTTAGATTGCGGGTCTTACAGAGCTATTAAACTCTTGGAACATGCAATGAAAGTATTTGAGAGAGTGTTAGAGAAGCGGTTAAGGGAACAAATTAAAATTGATGAAATGCAGTTTGATTTTACATCGGGAAAAGGCACGACAGATGCAATTTTTGTGGTGAGACACATTCAGGAGAAGTATCTTGCGAAGGAAAAGAAACTCTATTATGCGTTTGTTGATTTGGAGAAAGCATTTGATAGGGTACCGCGTGAGATTACAAGATGGGCCTTGAGAAAATCCGGTATGGAGGAATGGTTGGTTACCGCAGTGATGGCAATGTATGTTGGAGCACAAACAGCAGTACGGACGGATTATGGTGATAGTGACAGCTTTGAGGTGAAGGTAGGACTTCATCAAGGATCCGTGCTGAGTCCATTATTATTTATCTTAGTAATGGATGTGGTGGCTAGAGAAATGCGTTAAGGATTTCCCTGGGAGATATTGTATGCAGATGACCTTGTATTAATGGCAAACAGTGAGGGAGAATTGAGGGATAAAGTTAGTAAATGACTATGGAAGCAAAGGGCCTGAAAATGAATGCATCAAAAACAAAGGTGATGATTGGTGGGGAAAATCTAAAGATGGAAGAATCCGGTAAGTGGCCTTGTGGTGTATGTGGGAAAGGAGTTGCTAGAAATTCTATCCAATGCACCAGATGCCAGAAATGGGTACATAAAAGATGTAGCGGGAAAAAAGGCAGTTTGATGTTAGAAAGAATGACCTTTATTTGTAAAACATGCATGAAAGGAATACATAATAATGATAACCTAAAAAATGGTGGTCTGGATATTGGCAATGGGTTAACTCTAGAAAAAGTGGATAAGTTTTGTTATTTAGGTGATATGCTAAACGCAGATGGTGGTGAAGATTCTGCCGTTGTTGCAGGGATCAGACAAGCTTGGAAGAAGTTCAGAGAGATGTCGTCTATTCTTACAAATAAAAAAGTTTCTCTGAAGTTAAAGGGGAAAGTTTACGTAATCTGTGTGAGGAGTTGTTTAGTTTATGGCGGTGAAACATGGGCAATTAAATCAACTCACGAAGCCAAATTAGAAAGAACAGAGATGAGGATGGTTAGATGGATGCGTGGGGTATCTGAGAGAGAGAAAAACTAGCAAGGAATTGCGAGCAAGATTAGGTATAGAAATGATTGGTATGGTAATGCGACGAAATAGACTAAGATGGTTTGGGCATGTGGAACGTATGACAAGAGATGACTGGGTAAAGAGATGCACAATGATGGAAGTAGGAGGATCAAGACTAGAGGAAGACCCAAGATGACGTGGACAAATGTGATAGAGGCGGAGATGAGAAGCATGAATCTTACAAGTATTGATGCTCAGGACCGTCAAAAATGGAAAAGAAAAATCAGAGGGAAAACTGGCCTAATCGCCATAAAACGGAGAAGAAGAAGAAGAAGTGTAGCGTAAAACACTGGTTTTTAGCTAAAATAAAATAAATTCCTAATTTTTTCTTAAATT